CCTAAATAAGTGAAATGGTCAACACGCCCTACGACTCCACTTCATTCCCTATCTTTAAGCTAGTAGTCAATGTAGTTCAGTCCTGTAGCATGATTATACATTTGAAGGGAGCGAATCGCATGTCAAACATTCGTAGGTTGCGGTTCAAGGTGTTCACAAGACTCTACATTATGCAAGTGTCTTCACCCAGGAGGAAGGATTATATCATCCGCATATTCTAAGTCAACGAGATTATACCCTGGTAACAAATCAATCCCTGAGTCGTTGAAGTCACAAAGCGATATCTATCTAATCATGAAACTCACGAGGTTGAAATTCAGTGACCAATGAGTTTCAACTTTCATCGATTAATTAACATGATATATGGCCCCATGTGCAAATAATACCACTGATAAGTAAGCATTATTATTTATATTAGTATTCCCTTTAATTCCTAGAGGAACATAGGGCTTCAGCCACGCGTCTCCATTGTCTTCGGTTCTCTGCTACAGTTTTCACCTGCCTCCAAGTGTGCCCACATGTTTTCATCTCCTCTTCACATGACCTCCTCCAAGTTAACCCCACACTGACGACCAGCTCATCGCTTCTCTTTCGGGTTCCACTCGAGCAATGGCTTGTCTAGTGATGTCACTTGATGGTTTTCTCAGAGTACGACCAATCCATCTCCATTTCTTCCTGCCTATTTGTTGCACAATCGGTTCCTAGTTGGTTTGCTCCCAGAGATCCCTCCCTGTCGCTGATCTTCTCTGGCCACCTGGTCTTGAGTATTGAGCGAAGACAACTGTTGATGAAGGTCTGTAGTTTGTTTGAGATGCTCTTTATGACGCGCAGTGCAAGTCTCTGATCCGTATGGTAAGTAGCACTGACTTCACATTGGAGTTGAAAATCCGGATCTTATTTTTGATGCTGAGTGTTGTTGACCTCCACACAGACTTGAGAGTAATGAAAGCTTATCTCGCTTTCCCGATGATCCTTGCTTTGATATCCTCATCAGTTTCGTCCACCTGCAGTTGAAACGATGCTTCCCAGGTACGTGGGTAGGTAAAGGAGGTTGTTTCTTTCAGGTTCCTCCCATTTAGGCTGGCTGATTGTTGTTGCTGTTGTCCAGGAATCTCCATCACCTCTGTTTTCTCTGTGTTCACCTGAAGGAAGTCCTATCTTCTCTGAATGCTTCTTCGGACAACTTGTTGCTTTTCACTTGCATATCTTCCAGTTTGTGGGAGATCAGACATATATTATCGGTTAAGTCCTAAATTTCAATGTAACCGTGAGTAAATTAAAACCAGAGGATGTCATTCCTAACATAGAAGTAGCACTAAGCTCAATAGATAAGACAACAGCAGAAGAGGTTCGAGCACAATGTGCATTAACCCTGAAAAATCAAACTTAACAAAATCGGAAAGAGAAGCTTTAATTAGTCTAAGACAGGATAAAAATATTGTCATCGCAAAAGCTGACAAAGGAAACGCCACCGTAGTTTTGAATAAATCTGACTACATCAAAAAAGTTACTGAACATATTCGAACGGGTCCATATGAAGAAATTAAGAAGCCTGTCGATGCAATTATGAATAAAGTTAAGAAATCTACAGCAGAACCAATACGCAGAATGAAGCCGTCACTGGGTGAGTCCAAATGGTTTAATTTAATGCCTAAAACTAATAATGCTAGTAGAATATATGGTACTATAAAAATACATAAGCCAGGTTACCCCATAAGACCAATAGTAGATTTTAGAAATACTCCTACGTATGAATTATCAAAACACTTAGCTCTAATACTTTGTCCCATTAGAAATCGTTCAAAATTTAGATTAACTAATTCATATGAGATGAAAAGTAAACTAAATGACACTCGACTAGAGACTGATGAAACAATGGTTAGTTTTGATATAACTAGTCTTTATACTAATATACCAGTCAATATGGCCTTAGAAGCAGTTAAAAAAGAACTAAATGCCGATCCTGAACTCAATCATAGGACAAAGCTGTCCATTGAAGAAATTATTTTAGGGATTCAGTTATGCCTCACATCTACTATCTTTAAGTTCCAAGGCAAAATATATAGACAAACACAAGGTGTAGCAATGGGATCACCAATATCCCCTATCGTAGCAAACATATTTATAGACAGCTGGGAAAATTGTGCCCTCAATACATTTAACCCTACTCCGAAAATATGGTGGAGATATGTGGATGACACTTTCACAGTGTTAAAAACAGAACACATCTCTAGCTTCTTCACACACATAAACTCACTAGTGGAGGGAATGAAATTCACATTTGAACCGGAAAATGAACAAGGAGAATTAGTTATGCTAGATTGTGAGATAAGACAAATAGAAGAAGGTAAACTACACACTAGTGTGTACAGAAAACCAACTCATTCTAATAGATATTTAGACTTTAATTCATCTCATCCGTTAACTGTTAAGGCAGGCTTAGTTAAGTGTTTAACGAACCGAGCCATAGCACTAAGTAGCTCAAAAAACGGATCTAAATGATGAAATAAAACACATAGAAGGAGCGTTGGTGTTAAATAACTATCCTTTAAAATTCATTAGAAAGATTAGTAAAGACCAAAGACAAAATAAAAATAATTCTGGAACTAGTAATGATAACATAAATAAGGGAGAATATAAGTCATCTACATTCATACCATATGAAGAGGGGACATCTGAGACCCTACGTAGGATTCTTAATAAAGCAGGAATTAGGGTGGCATTTAAACATACAAACTCACCCAGAGACAAGCTCTGTAGGCTAAAAGACCCCGTGGACCCAATAAGACAAAATAACATAATTTACAAAATACCCTGCAATGACTGTAAGTAAGGTCAAACTAGTAGGTCAGGCGTAGTCAGATTATCAGAACATAAGAATTTAGCTAAGGGAAGAATGGTTGACCCTGAAAAGATAAGTAATTTAGAAAAAAGCTCAGCTATTGCACTTCACGCATCAACAAACAATCACACGATAGGGTGGGATAGGGTTAAAATTCTCAAAAGTAATCTAGGTAGGTGGAGAGAGAGGTTGATTACTGAATCCTTGTTCATCGAGTCTACACCCACAAATATAACAGAAGTGACTCAATGCGAATACCAGAAATATGGAAGATATTATTACTACCGGTCAAATCAGAAAACGATAATAAATAATCATAAAATTCTATTTCAGTTCAAACACAACACAACATTTTAACAAGTAACTTATTATGACTATAAAAACACTCGTCTTATTTCCCATCTAATTGTATTTGATCAATAACACTCGTATTGTTATATTTCTGAATGTACATTATCTCATATTGATTTTTAATCCAAAATCTAATCGATTCCACACATGTATATAAATGAAAGAAAAAAGTTGTGTGATTAACTTGATATGATTATGAGCAATAGTTTGTGCTCGAAATGTCATCAGTTAATATTACTGTACAACACTGCGCAATTTATCAAAATCTTATCCATAATGGAGTTATACTCTACCACAGTGCCCAAGTTTTATACTTATATCCTCCAAGTTTTTTGTGTGAGTCCATTTTATGCCTGTTTCCTCATTGCCTGTTGTTTGTCACATTATCCAATTTACTGCCATCAGGAAAATCATTGGCTATAGTAGACAGCCAGCTTGCCTCACTCCCGTCCTCACTTCGAAGGATTCCGTAAGTTTCCCGTTGTGGATTATTTGGCATGCAGCATTGTCGTATAACTGTTGGATGAGATGTATAACTGTCGGTGGCACCCCGTAGTAGCGAAGTAGTTGCCAAATCACCTCACGATCGATGCTGTGTTGTCGAAAGCCTTTTCAAAGTCGATGAAGTTGACATAGAGAGGTGATTGCCATTCTGAGCTATGTTCAATGACGATCCATAGTGTGGCGATTTGATCAATACATGACTTGTTTCTCCTGAATCCAGCCTGTTCCGGTCAAAGTTTTTCATCTAGGGCTTGTTTGATTCTCTCCAGGATGATTCGGCTTAGTATTTTGCTTGGGATGGACAGGAGCATAAATCCACGCCAGTTTTTGTATTGACTTGAGTCTCCTTTCTTTGGTAATTTGAATAAGTATCCTTCCTTACAATCCTCGGGTACCTTGCCCTCTTTCGACACCTTCTCCAGCAGTGGCGTCATCAAGTCCGCTGTTGTCTCTGGCTCCATTTTCGATGAGTAAGCATAGGATTTATTTAACTTGTGTTTACTTTCTAATTAAAAAAAAATGAAATCCAGAAATGTGAAAGAACTTGAACTGATGACCTTTTATGTAAAGTTCCAAGCCTGTTTACTCTTGAGCTCTATAAAAAACAAATAATAATAAGAATAACAATAACAACATAATTAACCATTTTTATTCATATTTAACAATTATATATATTTTAAAAATTTGTCAAGAGTTAAAACACAATAAAAGAGAGAGAGAGGGAGGGAGGGAGAAAGCGAGAAACCGAGACGGAAGAGAAGGAGCTAAGCACACGTTTCGTTTTCTTTAAACATACATACACAAAACACCAGACAAGATAAAAAGAAAACCTGAAGCGTTTTGAGTTTAACTATAAAGTTAGATAAGCGAAAAGAGACAGTGATAGAGTGTGGGGAGGAATAATAAAAACGGAAGGCGAAAAAGGGCAGAAAAGGCAAAGATGAAATGCACTGATAACAATGATGATGATGATGATAATCCCTAGGATAATAATGGTTAATAATAATAATAGTAGTAATAATAATAATAAACAATAAAAATCCCATTGTATTCAGAAGAAGTATGGGTATTTCATCAATATGGCATTAATATGTAGGTATACCTATAAAAACTTTTTCTGGATATAAAGGAAAGGATGAATATAATAAATATAAATAATAACGATAATAATAATAATAATAAGAAGAATAATAATGCGATAATAAACCTTCAGGGATGACTCCCTCTTTCTCTCTCTCCCTCTGCATGTGTCACACACCAAAGGGGGACCTTCTCATCAAATTTCGAAAAAGGCATTAAATAACACACTAGAAATGATATTTAAAAACAAATATTTCCTATTTGGTCACATAGAAAAAAACTCATATAAGTAGTTTCGTTAGTAGTAGTGGTAGTAGTATCATAGATAAGAAAAGAATGAGTTAAATAGTAAGTGTAATAGTATTACTAATCATGAAAGTTAGGCGTATATATGCCTAGTGAAGAGGAAAAAAGGGCTATAATATAGACTAGAGAAGAACATTTCATTAGTATCGTCTATATTGTATAATATTATGTATATTTCATGAAATGTGTTATTGATCCATTCACACATAAATACACATACACGCACACACACAAAGCTTCTGTATAGATAAGATTCATTATACAAAGCCACCGGGGGTGGAGTGAAGTAAGAGTTCAAATGAGTGGTTATGAAGGCAATAACAATCAATGGAATTAATTATATGCGCATACACGTATACACACACACACACACACTCATATTAAGACGATAAGGGTACATTTACTCAGAAACACAATTGTATTACAACTGTCGATCGGAGCAATGTCGGAGGATGGGAGATTAGGAAATTTAGAGAATACTACTGACATTTCATGAATATCTTTTGTAGAATGCACAATATAGGCAGGGAAACAGAGAAAGATAAACCATAAAAATGAAGAAAAACACATGAGGCTTAACTCAATGCCTTAGAGATACTTAGTTCAATTGATGTAGATAAATAAGTACTGTTGTAATATGAATATCATTAAAATGGATAAATATAAAGAGAAATAATGGTATGTGAACAGCTCGATGCGCAGAGATAGACAGACAGATGATCAGTGCATTTTTACGGAAGGTGAGATATGGTTATTCATCAGACAGAAACACGAAACAATCAGAAAAGTAATAGCAACAATAAACGACAACCGCGACAGTGAATTACCCTCATTTATGGTAACGAAAAAAATAGGGAACAATTGTCTGTTGAAGCGAAACGAAAAGAATTAGTAGAAGATGAGAAATGTTTGTGTGAAATGCAACTGAAGAAAAATATCATCATTACAACTTTTTTCTTCATAAGTGATATTCATATGAAATTAATATTTACGCGTTTGACTTCGAACGCTTGTGTGTGTGTGTGTAGACATGTGATTATCATCATTATTATTAAATAGCAAGTACATCTCCATTATCCCCGTTATCATTATTATCACGTTGACTACCACCTCTCTAATATACAAAGAAAAAGAAACCAACATAGAAAACAAAATGCAGTTCACATAGTCTAAACTGAGTACACAATTGTTCCTCACACAAAAATGAAAGGCTAAATGAGAATGTCCGACACTTAGAATCGGACCAGTGGGAACGCCGGTCCGCTTGGGGGAGCTAGAAACCTCTGATTCCAAACCTACGGTATGTCTGGACTCTACAATCCATACGTAATGAATGGCATACGAACCTGTTTTGGACACTAACAACCAATAGGAACGTAGGTTCACTACCTAGTGGGTCGAACTTCAAGTCAAAGGATCAAGGTATGCCGCCTTAAAACAATCATCTGCTTCGAATTCGGCGTCCACACAGTATCTCAGCTCTCATAGAAACTATGAGATTTTGTATGATGTATCTTTCGGCGCCCATAATAAATCAAGTCCGTGTTTTAATAATAATAATAATCATGATATTAAGTACAGGTTATGAAGGTGGAAGGTGTATGATTATAAGATGTTTATTTTTCAAATATATACCGATATTCAAGCGTTAGTTTTGCAGGGATTATTAGATTTGATTGGTTACAGGCTTTCATCATGAGTTGAAATCAGTGGTGATGATGAAATCCTAAAATCTATCCCGATACGATTGAATTCACACTCACTTTGATTATGATTATTATTATTTTGACTTTAACAGAGAGTTTAGACCACTTCAGATGAATTGGATGGACTCATGAATTCGTTTTATGCCCAAATTTGCCTACAGGTGTCAAAATTAGCCTAATGTTATACCAATTAAAACAGAGCATAACATCCACACGTTTGAGATCCATGACTTTCGATCTGCTAGTCATATATATATATATATATATATATATATATATATATATATATATATATATAAGGGGATATGATTACTTGAGCAGGAACATCCAGATGCTAAGGATCAGTGGTTAGAAATTTAATGCCTCTTGGTCGAAATCCGAAATATTTTAATTCATCTGCATTTAATCATTCCTCACATTAATGCTTGTCCATTATAGCACCATTGTTTTGTGTGCTCATAAGGCGGGGAGAAGGTTCAGCGAATTGACATCATGCACTTTTCAGTGTAAGCTTACATATCAATCAGTTCGTTTGTTCATTAATGGGCAATCACTATAAATCCCGTCTAAGACAATAAAAATTTGTATTGTGAATGAAAGATTCTTGTTCATAGGAGATAAAGAAATTAGAGTGATACTACATACTACCGACTGACTGACTGACTGACATGAGTGGTCATAAACCACCCATGTCAAATGAGTATTTGGTAGGCATGTTGATGCAAACACTGTTTCGCTCGTTTGAGACCGAGCTTATAAACAGAAATCTAAAAGACGACAAGGAATAAACATGGTTAAACACAGGTGCTACACAATAGCACGTTTCGAAGTACTCATCAGCATAAAGTATTATTATGTCTCCCAGTTAGATGCTTGCAGCGAATCGGCAGGAAGTCCTGGAACTAGGTTCAGTGTCGTCGTAACAGACATCAGAGCTATAACTGACCCCCTGTTATGGTGGGAATGATTGATCGCTGGGAAGTAGCCAGTACCATCACTCTAGCCCCTAATGGCGTTGGTTGAAAGAATTCTACCAGTTAGCTAGAACAGCTCTGACTGACTAGTTATTCGAATTGAATACTATAATTCGTAATAAGTAGTATGATCGAGTAAAACGTTCACAAAGACAATCAGAGAATAGTAATAAGAATGATAAAACAAAACAACGGTAGACAATAAACATACCGGTAGCCTAGATAGACTTGATTTGAAAGGTGATCTGTATAAATTTGTTTGAACATCCAATCCGGCTAGTTCACAAGGAGAGAGAGAGAGGGATGGAGAAAAAAAGGAGTAATTTTTCAAACATAACAATAGTATTGCTAACAGTTTGATTCTGAAGAATGTTTATATAAATCTACAGAATTTTCAGCCGAGTTTATTGCACAATAGATTCTCTCAATTCAGGATCTTTAAATGATAGTAGATTAATTGATATTAGATCTGTCCTGAAGCGCAAACCAATTCATTATGATGACATCTCTTCTCTTTCGAGAAATGCACGGCATTTAGAAGAATGTCAATTATAAAAGGTTCAGGAGTATATTTTATAACCCAAGGACACAAGTCAGGAACAGTTAAGTCACGTATTAAGACAAGCTGCCACAGATGATAGGGCTTTTAGTAGAAACTTGCAAATCAGTAGGTTGTTATCATTTTAAATACTCGCCGGAGTTAACAATACTATTAGAGGTCATATTTGGCTAGATTTAAACAAATTGAATAAGGGGAATTATACGCAATATATTGATGGAGGTTCCCAGTAGCCGAAGTTCTAAGCAGGCAGGCAGTCAACCATATGATAAAATCACTACATACGAAATGATGTACTCCTACAGTAATAATACTACTAATTTCTATCCATATTACTTTATCCCTCGACAATGAACTCCATTCTACGAACTCTGTGACTAGAAAGGAACACAAATTCAATCAATAGTATTACTATGCGAATTATGTAATTAGTCTGTTTAAATGCCTACAGCAAAAAAAGATTTGAGTTGCAGTAACATAATTGATACGATGAAAATTGAACTGGAATTTTCTAGGATTAGTTTATAGCGATTTGATTCGTTTCAAGTTTGATAACGGATCGATGCAGACTGAAAGCCCTAGGCTCGACTCCTGATGGGGTCATTGGTGCGTCCCGATAAAGAGTCCCAAACTAGGCGGAAACAGGTGTCATCCAGTACTCCCGGGTTTTCAATGATTCTCTAACTGACATCAATCTGTGATCGAACAGTAGACTAGGATTAGTCAATAAAAAAAAGAAAGAAATAAAACATGCAAAAACACACATGCACACGCAAACACGCTTACTTCGAGTTTTACTCATTTGCACTTTGGAAGATGTTGACGATGAAGATGACGATGAAGAGTCAGATATATTGATGTCTTTATTCAGGAAATCAGCAAAATCTTTGCCTAGAAATGATGCCACAACACAATCTAAATCCATGCTAGACCTGTTATCACTGTTTTCACCATCTTTTATTGTTCTAGTTGTTAGTGGTGATCGAGGTGCAGCTGATGGTTGTGACAGTGTAGTGTGATTCGACTTCGTTTGATTATTATCTTTTCCATTTTTATTAGCAAAAGAAATAAAACAAAATTCAAACACATATATAGATATATATAATACATTTATAATCAAGTTTTAGCAGTTTAACTAGCACTATAATTATCGTTATTATTCCCTTGGGTTCCACGAGGAACAAAAAGCTTCAATCTGGCTACATTGCCATCCCTTATAGCTGGCTCTAAGAATGACCGTAAACCTTCATTTCCTACCCCCCCAGACAATCTCCTCCAGTGTTCAACTCTTCGCTTCTCACTGGAGTCCCACTAGAGGATCCAATACGATGTCGATCGACAGTCTCTTCAGCGTATGACCAATCAATCTCCATTTTATTTAGCGTATTTGTTGGGTCTGGGTGATTCGATGCCAGAGTTCCTTGTTGTTAATGTTTTCTACCCAGGAAGCGAAGGTTGCCGTCTGTTAGAATTACTTCTCGTGGCTATGGTTAACTATGCTATTATTAAATTTAATACCAAAATAAGTTATTATATATATATATATAGACAGTTGACGGCTTCATGGGGAATATAGGCTAACAAATAAAGCCATTGAGTAATAATGGAGGAGGATACATCTTTATCTTTAGCGGACTACTTAAATCACTACAGAGTCGTCTAGTTTTTCATCGAGGAAAATGGATCAAATCTACTCCTTTCTATGCAGCTTTATTCATTCGTGCATTTATGTCTTAGAATCAAACAGACTCTTTATTCCATCTAAGATTTTCAAATCGTTTCCAGTCTACTACTCCAATGCATATTTTGTGTGTAGGGGAGGGAACAAAAATACCGCAGAAAGCGGGTAGTGGGAAGGGGTATGCTTTCAACCAAAATATATGCCATAGATCATCGTTATTTTACTTGAAGATTTCCGTAAGAGAAGTAAGTATTTTAGTAATCAGACACTTATTGGCCACATATACTGGTATTAAAATTCATCTGCATAATTCTTAAACATATTTTCGATTAGTTTTATCGTCAGTTATTTCGTTTTATGGAACTTCGGATATTTTCCGTCTTGTTCTACTTATTTCATTGTGTTTCTGATAGGATACACTGTTATGATATGTTCTATGATGTGTACACCGTCTTCTTGTTTTTTCTTCTTCTATGTCCTACACATAGATAGTAATGGGTATAAAAAAAGAGCACTTAATCACCAATAAGCCTTCTTTTTAAGAAAAAACAAACACAACAATAAGTCTGTAATGAATACAGATCTCATGTAAAATACACAAACAACAATTTGCATGGCACTACACACTTTTCTGTGAATACTGTCCATTTGAATCATAAGCGAAAGGAGTAGTAGTAGTAGAAGTAGTAGTAGGCGATGATATCGAAGACGAAGACGATGACGATAGATGTGATCCGTGTGTACGCGTTAAATCTTTATGCTGTAGGGGATTAGTAACAGCAGAAAACGCAGAATGACTTGGACTCATCTGACTTGATGGCTGGTAGATATCACGATTGAACAGCAACTTTGATTTATTCCGTAGTAGACTTGATGATGAGGATGACGGTGGCGACGAAGACAAGACACCAGTGTCACATACATTTTTAGCTGATAAGTTAACCAAAGTTGCAGATGGAGATAAGTTTTGGATTCTAAATTAAAAGGGAGAAAGAGAGACAAACTAAATGAAACTAAAACTAATGGTAGGGAAAGAATTACAATATCTCGAGGACCACAACCATGAGACATATATATATATATATCTACGGACATGGCTCAGATCAACAGCCAGAGACTTATGGATTGTTAGCATTATCTGGTCTGATCACTGCAAAGACTTCTTAAAAATAATCTTATTTCACTTAAAATTGGTCGTTGAGAAAGCCAGAGGACTTGGCATTCATATTTTTTTTCTTTCCTTCACGTTCCCCAGTGGAACATAGGGGCTTCACGCTAGTGGCTTGAAGTTTCTGTAGCAATGCTTATTTTACAGGATGGGTTTGCTAGCCTCATGCCCAACCTTTCCTATTCACCAGCCATATTTTCTGGCTTAACCAGGCAAAGGAGTGCGTCGGCCGGGGATCGAACCCTGGACTATGTGCATGGTCGGCGGGCTATGCCGCGCTATGCCACCGACACACTGGCATTCATATTAAGTCATCTGAATCATAGACTGATTCATCTGCCTTGCCGAATAAGACTTTATTGAATATGAATAGTAATTGTTCACTATGATGATGTACTTAGCACAAGTAATTGGGATAAAGACACCCAACAGTATCAGCCAACCCAGCTAGGCAGTTAGAAACTTCATCACTGGTTTATGTAGGCCATGAGTGATCTCTTGTGATAGGCAGTAATCCGTGTGCTACTGAATTGATTTAAACATTCCTAAAAATCACCTCTTCTAAAAAAGATTTTGCCACTTACTCTCTTCTGTAATGACACACGCTTGTTTCATGAGTCGTTCCCTCTGAAAGAAAGCTTAGCTAAGTTCTTTAATTAAATAAACACTAACCGAAGATTTAAATAAAATTTTAGATGAAAAGTATATAATTAATCGAAAATATCGGGTAAACAAATTATTTTGTAAAAAGAAAAAGAAAATAGTTTCACCTTGAATTACTGAATCTTTCATCTGTCATCATTGTAACACTTGTTCTCGACAATGTACTTATTTTTCTGCGTGAGTTTAAAGTTCCACTTGAAATATTTGTTGATGCACGAAATACTGTATCACCAGATCGTAAAGCTCGTAGACAACCTTGAGCAGTTGATGTAATACTAGAATTAGGCAGTAAGTAGGTTGTATTCGCAGTTGTACTAGAATTATTTGTATTCGTTGTTGTACTTATAATGCTAGATGTTAATGAATGCGGTAGACCACCAGAAACTGATGTCATTGATGATAAACTAGGCGCTGGTGAAAGTGATGCATTCGTTGATATTTCATAATAACACGATGATGCTGACGATAGTGGTTGTTGTTGCTGCTGCTGTTGGCCTTGATCAAAATCTGTATTCAATGAATGTGCTAATAATTCTTCTTGAACGTTATTCACCGATGAAGCATATCCTCCATTACTACTATCACATCCACCAACACCACCACCACCGCTGCAACCATTGGAAGAAGAAACAACAGTCAATGAGCTTCCACGACTTGTTGAACTGCCTAAACTGCTTGGTTCAGTTAACCCACCAATAATTGAAGATGAAGAAGAATTCGACGGTAACTTGTTTAGAGATGTTTGAGTAACTAAAAATACAAAACAAGTATAGAGTGAGAAGACAGAGCTATTGTATGCAAGTGATAAGTTGACAAAAAAGCTAAAACGACAGTAAAGACTAGGTTTTTATACACTTAAAAGGAAGCCAAATGACGGTAAAATGATTAACTGATTAGATAACTAAAAATTATAGACCCATAATTTTATAGGATTACATTCCGAACCGAATGACAATATAATTATCAAGAAGTCCAGCAGAGTAGCGGTGATATGACTACTAAACGATTAACATTCTTTAAAACTATACGAACCAGTGAGTAGTCAGTATCGAATCAGTCTCTGCTGCACACTTATTTTTATTTCATTACTTTGCGTTCCCAGTGGAACATAGGGCTTCAAGCGTGAGCTTTGAAGTTTCAGTAGCGGTGGGACTATTTTTTAATGAGGTGGGGTTGCTAACCTCACATCCAACCTTCTCCATTTGTCGGACTTACAACTGGCTAGGAGAGGTAGAGGTGTGCACCGGCAGTGAGTCAAACCCCAGACCACTTGCATGGTTGACCAGTATCCTACCACTGAACCACAGACGCACATATTTCCTCATTACCTATCTACATGGGAGAAAAATACCAGCAGAAGTAGGACTGCATTCGAAAAAAATAGGGTGATCACATCGACAAGTATAATAATAGTCCACAAAGTCACTGGATAGTAGTTTAAGTTGTTTAACGATTGCATGTTACCTGGTTAGAGTTGACAACATAACTTTTACCGACAGACAAAAGCTGATTTGACGTAGTATCAAACATAATAGTGCAGATGCATTCCATACCTTATTCTTCATTCCCCCTAAATTTTATACTCCGTCATGAATTATTCTATTACATTAGACTGTATAATCTTTCTTCAATTCTTCACTGACTTTTATAAGCTTTTACTTCATATAATGGTATGAAATGTGCGGATTTGTGATATCAGGTTCTACAAATAAAAAAAATATTTGGTTACAGGATTTCATTATGAGCTAACCTCGCTTAGAGAACCATTGAAAAATCAGCCGAATAGCTGTCCCATCCTAGTTTGGGACTCTTCATCAGTACGTGCCCACCACTGGGGTTCGAATCCAGGACCTTCTGGTTACAAGGCGAGCTCGTAGACCATTAGGCCAATGGGACCCTATCCAATGGCCCATGAATTCTAACTTCTCCCAATTCACGATATAGCTCGGGGACTAGCCAGAGTTATCGGCTGCGAGTATATGTCCTTACTCCCAGGTTTTTCAATGGTTTTCTAACCAGTGTCAACTCATGATGAAATCCTGTATATAATCAAATTAAATCCCTGTAAATCAACTCTTGAAAAAATATTTGTCAATCCGTCTTCATTTGAAAATCGATCTATTTTTCTGTCTCTCCTATATACTACTCACAATATTCGGCACCTTAAAAAATAGTTGATAAGCAACTGTATAAAACTGCAACGATTGAGATGGCTATAGAACAAGTGTTGCGCATACTGTCACAGCCTTCCTTGATAGGCAGTGTTAGCTGACATAGGATTATATTGAGGGTTCCGAAGTCAAATCCTAAAATCAATCAATAAACTCCTCGACAGTTGGTTTCAGTCATTCATCTAAAGTGGTGACTGGTTGCATTCCTTGGGATGCTAAGAACCAATCGCTGGGGACTTTTGGTGATATGGCTCAAAACCACTCTTAATGTCACAGACAAACTAACTCTTTGTAATCTCCTAAACCCATTAACCCCCTTTATGTTTCTATTCTTCCTCCTGTACATTTCTGGTGATTGCAGTTCTTTTGAATCTACATTCTTCTCTTTTCTCTACATAAAGTGTGGCGACTTGAAGTGATGCTCTTTTGTTCAAAGTTCTACGTTGAAACAGTCTCAGTCAGTATTAGATTCTGCTATGAATATCTAACGTTTTCGACAAAATAAGAAACTCAAAGAAAAGCGAATACAAATTAAGCATGGATTTGTAAAATATTTGATTCTGAATAAGAATGCTATGAAACAGAACATGCACATAAAATCACACCTAATGCCATCATCATTTTATTCAGTGTAATTCCTTCAACTACTTGCAAGTAATATGAACTATGAATGAAATATTTGTAACTTCTCAGTCACGCAATGTCGTGAATTGGCAGAAGTGTGAATTTGTGAGCCATTGAATTGGGTCCCAGTGGCCTAATGGTCTACAAGCTTGCCTTGTAACCAGAAGGTCCTTGGCTCGGACCCTGGTGGTGAGCGCTTAGTGATGAAGAGTCCCAAACTAGGACGAGACAGCTCTCCAGTACTCTCAGGTTGGTTTTCTAATGGTTCTCTAAACGATGTTGGCTCATGATAAAATCCCCCAACCAATCAAACAAAATCTCTACAAACCAATACTGGAGAACATAGAAATATTCAAACACCTCCACTGTAAAAAAAAACGGTTGCAGTGAAGAAAATTTTCTTCTTGACAACCTTATTGTATTCAGACTATAAGAGTCGAAATAACTTTTAGGAATATCTGTACGTGAATGAATGTCTTATATTTACATAATAATATGCATTAACTTCGTAGAAATAAAGGATATAAAATGTCAGAGTGATATTAACAACCTATGAACGAAAAGCAGAACCTGGGAATCTGTGGTAGAATACAATTTCATTTGAGATGGCACCTGTTGGTATGAAAAGAATAAAGTTCTTAGGATATAGGCATTTTTACTCAGTCACTCACTCAGTGATACAGCAAGAAAAGTAAGTACACAATATTAGATAATAAGATGCATAAAATTTAGAAGCTCCATTAATCCAAGTAGCTAAGATTTCATCTTGCACAAAAATCAACGCTAACTAAGGTCTGAAAAGATCATAAGAACTTAGAAGTGACTAGACAAAAATATCCCATTAGTCTGTAAGGTCTCTGAGTCATGTTGTGAAGTACCAATCAGGAGGCTAAGAATCGATAGATGAAAACTACTGATATCAATGTTTGCAGACCTTCATGGTATGGTTATCATCTGGATTCTAGAAGTAAATAGTGCTGTTGCATAATCAATAAACATTAGAGTGAGAAAAATCACATTTAACTGGTAGAGAGTCAGGCTAGTATTGACAGCAGAAAACCCAGCTGATTCACCAGTGTTGTGATAAACTGTGATAGTTACGCTTCATTTATTTACACCAAAACTAAGCATTACGCGTACTGATTACAGTGAAATGATAACCTGATTAACAACCGGATCTAATACCTTAACTTTTGAGAACACAGGAATTTGTTGATCCAGAATCTGACGTGATCCAGATCATTATTTCACCTTCAACCATGATTCAGTCATTGTACTAACAATAGTCTAACTAATTCAACGCTATCTCAGACAGTATCACCATGAAATACAGATTAGCGAGACTGTCCTAATGTCCTGATAATTACTGCTGAGCAAGTATTATACAGTGAATAGTAGTATTTCTACATTGTGTACATCGAATTCAATTCTACACCAGTGGCCAAATTCTACTTTCAAAACAAGCCGACAGACTATTTAGCTACGAAAAAAATTACGCAACTGTTCTTTCTGACATCAATCATATTCCAAGCAGTTTTTCAGACAAAGAAAAGAAACATTTCTAATTAGAAACATGGAAAATAAATTAGTGAATGCAGGTATGTCTGCTTTTTTCTTGAAGAAAAGTAAGACTAAAAATGTATGACAAATTGAATTTCCGCCTTTCTTATCGCTGCTGACTGACACACCCACACATACATGCAAAAAGCCAAAACGGAACGTAGAGAACAAAGGTAGACACACAAATGGTAACTTGGATTATTTTATTGCCAAAAGCACTATACATAATCATTTCATGTATGTGTGCGGAAAAAAACACAGACAAAAAATGGCAATATAAACAGACCTCAATATCATGTCCGCGCAGTTAGTACAACAGTCATTACTACACACTAAAAGACGACTTAATCAACCATTGGTGTAGTTACGTCCACTGAGTTGGACTAGTCTTTTTCTTCCTATACGACCACCATCGCAGTGTTCACTTCAACACGAAGTAAGCTTTTTAAATTCACCATGAATACAGTGAGCATCTTCCCCGGTAACCTTGAACGTGATTAGTAGTCTGAGGAAATTTCGTTACCCTCCTACTCAGTTTTACTGATAGTGATTATCTTGTTGATTCAGTATTCGACCTATCGTCCATGAGAATTCTTTTTCATTGCCTTATAAATCTGGTCTGTGTCGATGTGTGTATGGATCGCAGATTCATAAACAAGTCAACGATAAAGATGTTATCTAAAAAGACAATGAAGGCTTCGTAATCAAGCCATTTAGCACAGAGAACACAAACACACCAATAACATCTCCCGTAAGCCACAAATCTTCTTCATCACTTCTAAATTAGTCAATTAGCCTGAATCTTGAAGTAGGTCATTGGTATTAGCTCTTTCACGCGTATACACTCTCGCTGAATTATCACTGTGTATGAAGCGTTACGTTTGTTGAGCTGTATTCATTATTTCATTTTTATTTCTTTGCATTCCCAATGGAACCTAAGGCCTCAACTGAAGTAGCAGTGGTGTTTCTAACCTCATACCGAACCTCCTCTCTTTATCGGGGTTACAACCGACTGCATGAGGTTTAGGAGTGCATCGATCGGGGATAGAACCCTAATACCAAGTGGGTGGTTGGGGAACATGCTACCGCTGAACCAACGGCGCACAGTTGATATGTACAGTAACTAATAATTCACAAGATCAAGATTATCTTATCAACTGAAGGCCATTCTCTGTCTTGGCATGCAGATTCAACAGTGGAAAGAAATCTGATTTTGTAAAATGTGATATATGAATATCCACATTGTAAGCAGAGGAAAATACCTAATCGACTGTAGAGAAAATTAGAAAAAAAGACAGTTGTAACGGGGAGGACAAAAAGGATTCTTTTAAAAAATCATGTACTAAGTTACGTAATACAAGTAGGTATTTGTGGTGGGTGGGGAAGAATTTATGC